TTTCTTTACATAAAACTCTCTTATACATGAGTTGCTGTGGATTTGTTTCTCTAAAGTACCCAGACTAATATATGTGCCTAGTACACTTTTTTGGTATATTTATAAAGTCTTAATTTCAGCTAGATAATGATATAAAAAGAAGCCTTTGTGATAAATTAAGTAAAATTGAGTAAAAAAATTGTTTCTTTATTTGTGTAAGTGACTTGAAAGAATATCTATTAAAAATATACAGTGTGGGGGCACTGGAGTGTCCTAATGGTGAAGGGAGAGGTAGAAAGGAGGGCAGTGCTGGTTCTATACATAACACCATGACCACAATGTCACGGAATTGACGTGTGTGAAAGGCTGAAGTGGTCAATGCTTTTATATAGATCTATATACAGCACAATTCAAACAAAACAATACACCAACAAAAAGGTCATATGAAACCCTGTGGAGTTTTGTCAGCTCAGCAGCTCAGCTTTCTTTTAAAACAGAAGGTCGGTAAAAGTAGCAGAGGAAGCTTACGTCTATTTTTCTTATAATTCTCCATTCAAATCACAAGCTGAAGTTTGCTGGAAGTGTTGATTTCTTTCTAAAACCTCTTTAAAAAACATCCAATATGCTTTTTTGAAAAGATGAAAAAGTTGTCATTTTCCTTTTTCCCACTATGTAGCTGCTAACTGTGGGCTGTTTACAAACACAAAGCTTCCTAGAAGTAACAAGTTTATCCCCCAAAAGAAAAAATGTTCAAATGAAAAGGGACTGTTTTCTATGTTCTTATAAAAAAGTTATTTAATATTTTAAAAATCCATTTAATAGGTACAAAATATAACACAAAATATTAACTTACTTAAGTTCTCCCAATAAATGACCACTATGAACAGTTTAGAGAATACCATTAAAAACATGTATTTGTGCAATTATGTAATTAGGATATTTTAGAACCTGTTTTGGCTAAGAGCCCCAGTGGCCTAGTGGGTTATGAGTTGGTGTGCCATTGGCAGCTTGCCGAAGAAAAAGAGAAAGCTTTCCATTCCTGTAAAGAGTTACTGTCTCCGAAATCCACGGGGGCAGGAGTCGCTATCAACAGTCAGTTAGGTTTACTGGGCTAGTT